CGTCGCGTGCCCGACGCTGATGTGCTGAGGCGGCGGGCTGCGTCCGATCGGGTGATGCGTTTCGCCGTTCTCGACCTTGGACTATGGTGATGGGCTGCGTCCAATTCGAGTTTAAATCAGGTGTTCGCGATCGTATAGAATATTATAGATGGCTGGCTTGGTGATGATCTCGTAATGCGATGTCTTGCCGTAACCACAGCTTCGCCGCCTCCGCCGTAGAGTGTATGAGTGTATGGCATACACCGGTGTAACCGCGAATATTTACCTCAGTGATATTTTACCTCACTAAGGTAAAATATCCCTAGCGATTATTTACCCCGCGTAAAATTTCACTAGCGATTATTTACCCCACGTAAAATTTCACTTAGTTAATTTTACCTCTCCACAGGTAAAATTTCACTAGTTATTATTTACCCCGGTAAAATTTCACCACTGATATTTTCACTAGCGATTATTTACCCCCGGTAAAATTTCACTAGGTTAATTTTACCCTGGTAAAATTTAACTCTGTGATATTTTACCACTCCACAGGTAAAATTTCACCAGTGATTATTTACCTCGGGGTAAAAATCCACTAGATTTAATAAAATATTATTTATTTGAAAAAAATAAGTTTGGTTTAGGTATTTATTATGTGTTTGAATTCTTCATCTTACATCACCCTCTTTATAACGGACACCTCCAAATAGCGGACGAAATTTTGGAGACCGAGAGTGTCCGATATTTAGAGGTTATTCATTGTATACTAATTGTACTGAACAGTAAGTTGGGTCCACTGTATTTCTTATAGAATAAATAAGTTTATTACCTATATATCACGGTGATCTCCCTTAATGGACACCTCTCAATAACGGACACCTCCAAATAATGGTCGACATTTTGAGTACGACGACACATGTACTCATTTTATTTCCCCTCTTAATAGCCTAAAATATTTAATGTGACAAGTTCCGTAACCAGGGTTATGAAATTTAGTTAAGGGGGAGGAGGATAAGTTTAAATTAAACAAAGTTATTACAGTTTTCGAATATAAATAATATACATAATATGTACATTTATTAGGAGTAAAATTTTCAATGGTGGTGGGGGTGGGGGTGGTTAAACGTTAAACACTAAAACACCCAAAGGTCAAAACTCCCCCGACACCCAATTCGCCGACACTCGGTTTTTCGATCAAAAAACCAATTTTTAATAGTTTAAAAAAAAGCCTAATTCGCCGACAACAAATGATAGTGGTGACATGCTACGGTGGTATTGCAATAAAACCATAATATTATCATAATCTGTAAATTTATTTTATCATGAGTACCTATTAGGTACCTATATCTGGTATCGCACGTTATGATATTTGTTTAACTTATTTAATGGTGAATATAAGGTAGTAGCTATCACATGTTAATTGACATCCATCAATATAGTGCACTATTAAGTATATATTTAGTATATCCATCTATTAAGTCCACTGCGCGGTTTTCAAATAATGATTATGATTTTTTACCATGATACTTAATGACTGATGTAATATTACCATTTTATATTTTATATATTTATCATAAGTTATAATAACTTAATATAACTAAAACTAAGCAGGGATCTATTGGCAAAGTCAAAAAGTGATTTTTAATCCTCAATGGGTTTTATGTATATGTAAATGAAATAAATATCATCATAAAACATTCCAAACGGAGGCTGAAGAAAAAAATTGGTAAAATTTATTTGGGTTTTTCTTTTTGGGGGGGGGGAGTAGGGGTGGCTGGGGAAAAAGACCTTATTCCTAGTTAAGTTAACGTAAAATATTGATTTATATAAAAACATTTTAATAGCGTAAATTTATGAATTTTATCTAGTGAATTTTTACCGGGAGGTAAATATTCACTAGTGAAATTTTACCAGTGATTATTTATTTTCTTTCAATATTCACTAGGTATATTTTACCCCCGGTAAAATTTCGCTAGTGAATATTTACCCCAGGTAAAAATCCACTAGGGGAATTTTACCGGGGGGGTAAAATTTAACTGGGTCAAAATACACGGTTCCACCGGCACACGGACTTCAGGACGAGCGCCAACATGACCGTCATTAGCGCCTTGCCTGACATTGCGGCCGCCGGCCAGCGACGTAAATACGATTTCCGCCGCTCGCCGTCGTGCCGGCCGACCACTGCAGGGTCGCTTTCATATTCATACCGTCTTTTTTGCCTCGCCCCTAGTGTGAACAAACAAACAAATATAAACGGTTATAGAATCGTTGGTGATCTGAAAACGGTCGCGGTGGCCGTACACAAGCCGCGGTCGTTGTCCTGTTGTTGGAGTTTTGAATTAGTTTTCACTCGATATAATACGAAAATACCGAATAGGTGACAATGGTGACATAGTTTTGTGAAATAATCACCTATACAATGGATGGCAATAAATATGATTTGCTATTGAAAGTCAAATCAAAATTAATATCACAATAATAGTATACATATTATTTAGGTAGTTTTAATATTTAATGTTATTTCTATAATATATAGTTGCACTATAGAGGTGCATTTCTATTGTGTTACAAGTAGAATATATTGTATTTAAAAACATTGCTGTATTATTGACCTTATGTGAAGGCAAACATTTTTAATGATACACTAGAAACTTTTTATCCTTTATTTCTTTAAAAAATATCATCGATTCAATGCAGGAACGTTGTCAAGATATTTCAATGTCTCGGTTCATTCAGATTGTTGAAAATTATAAAATATCGAATATTCGCACGCGGCATTCAATAATTTTATGAAAACGGATTGTAGTAAAAAAAACATTACTCAGGCAGGGACTACTATTTTTAAATCTAACGTCTGCCATTCTGATTTATTAACAATGTCATAACGGATACCATATTACCATGACACCATGTTAGGTACTTATACGATGTGTTAACAAGTTTCTCATAATTACGCATCAAACATGTYACATACAACAAAACTATAACGGTAAGAAAACAATGTTTTGATTAGTTGAATTTCACAAAAAAAAAAAAATTAAAAAAAAAAACGTAAATCGGGTTATGGTTAATCTTGCCTAAATCTACATGCATAATTAATAATAACATATTATATAGATAATATATATTATAAAAAGCTTTAGTGACCGCTTTTACCTCTAAAACTTACATAATTTAAAATCTACTTTGGTCGAACCTACTCGATTAATAATAATTGTTCTCAAACGTATATTCACGAAAAGGTATTTTTTTTTTTGTCATTTTAGGGTTACGTGACAAACCATTACCAATATATTATTTCAATAAAATAATAATAATAATGTTTCCAACACGGACGTGTTCGTGTCGAAAAACACGGGTAACTTAATATTAATATTAATTTATTGATTTATGAAAATCGTTTGGTGAACGACAGTCGAAAGAACGATTGAATGAAGAGGGCGACATTAAAATAATAATTGACCAGATTAAAAATGTTGATATATTTTTATGCTTTGGATTGTACCTATGCGTATTATATTCCGGTAGTTCTAGTATTCTAATTGTGCATATTATTATGTAGAAGCAGTTGCGATTTTTTTTTTTTGTGGGTAATCGGTATGGTTGGTACGGGTGTAACTAATTAGAGTGTTGATCGCCGAGATAGCTCCTACAAGTTCGGCGGTTGGCTATATCGACTTGCGGCGTTAGGGATTCGGGTCACCAAATGAATACACAATATTTATAAATACAATTAACCACGTATGTGTGTGTACACTCATACAAATATAATAATAATAATATATATCAACATCGTGACATGATTATAATATATAATACAT